GAGAGAGAGAGAGAGAGAGAGAGAGAGAGAGAGAGAGAGAGAGAGAGAGAGAGAGAACAAAAACCTCGTCCTTGTGGATTCATGAATGCTTGCACGCCACATGCTATAGGGACAGGAGACATGCAACAAATCCAGTCATCTCCAGACCTTTCGTGGCAGAGGGTAAGCCTTGCTAGGCTCAGTATACATGGTAAACACCAATCTGTTGAAGAGACACGAGTGGCAAGGAGGGATGTAAAGAACAGGGCACATAGATATGAACGCCATAAATAAATAGCTGTGTGACCAAGATAAGACGGAATCACCAGCACTGTGAACACACCACACAGGGACAGCAGCACGACCAACTCTTGCCAGTGTGCCAACTCTCAAATCCTGTGCCCCAAACACAGTCTGAAAGTGCGCGCCCAACCCATGAATGCAAGGTGTGCAGAGAGCCACAGGTGTTAGGTGTATGATGGAGAGGATTAAATGCAATTTAATGCATCTAGCACCAGCAGAATGCGAACCTCACCAACAGCGGTAAATGAACTCAGGCGAAAGGAAGTAATGAATACAGCACATGATGACAGCAAAAGAACCTGGCCACATTGCTAGAAGCATACATGGCCCAAGCACCAGTTTGCCTGTGTTTCACATCATATTCTCACTGATTCAACTGCGCACTCACCTCTAGGAAGCTCTCCAAACGACAAAAAAAAACCGTCACCAGCGTCAGAAATGGGCCACTTGTTTCAGTTTGGGCCTCCGCATTCGGCTCGCCAGACTCATCTTAGAAGGATTCACCATGTTCGCTAGGCGGACGACTTCCTGATCATAGAGTCATCGGATCTAGAGCACTACCGTCTCCACCCACCTGAAGCAAAAACCCGGTCATTTTCGCTGCATCTGACTGAAAATTGCCCCAAATGCAGCTATAATAACAGGACATTCTATTCGGGTTCGGGTGAAAACTGTAGCCGATAAAAAGCTAAATAGTCTCTTTCCACAAAGAAGTAAAAACACACACAGCAAAAAAACAAAAGTTGAAGGTGTTCCGATCTCGTAGCTGCCATACATGGTATCAACACATGTTTTTTTGGACACATGCACTGCCACAAAGACCAGAAGTGCTGCAGGAAGGGGGGCAAGCAAAGGTAACATATCATAACAGAGGGGGAGGGGGGGGGGGGGGGGCCGCGGGGGGAAGGAAGAAGGAAGAAAAAACATGCCAGAGTCGACTGGAGAGAGTTGGGTCAGATACTGTGTCATTGTCCGACGAGCACCTGGTTAGATCAGTTCAGCTTTGTCGACTGAGTGCGGGTTGGTTGTTGCAATTGCGTCGGAAACCCAGATAGAAGGGGGCATACACTACGACTACAAAAAAACTCCTTCGATAACATTCATGGATTTTTCTGAACCTCGGAAATTAAACTCCTTCGAAAACATTCATGGATTTTTCTGAACCTCGAAAATTAACACAAAGTTCGATGCACAAACGCCAAGCGCAACAACAAGGGAGTTTCCAAACAGCATAGCAGTTCGTTTCAGTGCATCGTTGGGGTGAGTCGTGTGAGAGGAAGAGGCGCATCGGTGCACGGGTGGTGCGTAAATGTCAGAAGGAGGTGGTTTCAGGCCATGAGATTATAGATTATGTGGGCACTTGGTGAGACAGAAACCCTTCACTTACTGACGTCACTCGTGCAACCGAGACGGGGCGGGTTAGCGGGCAAATTTTCAATCGTAAGATAAAAAAAATTGGCGTACAACAACCGGTGCGATCAACTGCATTAGACATCCAAGCTACACTCTGCTTCTGTTCCTCCATCTTTTCTTCCGTCCGCACTTCTATTCTTCCATCGCATCGCTTTCAATCACTTCAACTCTCTCCCTCAGCCGGCGCACCGAGCTTGTCAAGACAGCTGCGACGAACAGCACACGTCAGATTCCAAACACACAGCCAGAGCTGTCAGACCAAACACACTCAAAAAACATATCCAAACTTCACAAAGTTGTTTGCTGCCGGGCCTTTCCTCGCTAAGGGACATACCTGTAACAACCAAACAAACTGGAAAAGGAAAACCACAAGAGGTGTGTTTTCTGAGTTTTTCTCAGATGAAGGGGGTTGTTGGCAATAAGGCAAGCGCTCTCAAGTGCCACATACATCCATCTTCTTTTTTTTTTTTTTTTTTTTTTCCCCAGATCTGTGTACAAGCCTCATCCGTCCATCTTGAAACAACCTTGAACACTACAAACTTGGTACAAAGAATAAGGGATTAGTCAATAATACTCGATATCAGATTATTACTATGTGAAATGATACGGAAATCAGTGTTTGAATAAATAAATAAATAAAATATTAAAAATCTAGGCTACCGAAGCAGCCCAGGACTACTTGCCTTTAAATTTGGTAAAGAATTTCAATGTGACCCTGAGGCAACAGTTGTTCAGTTCATTTTTCTGCATTACTGAGTGGGGATCCGGGCCGTCCGGGTGACCGGCAGGGGCCCGGGGGAGGTCCTTGGCGGCCTGGCCGGGCAGGGCACCCGGTTGGGGGCCGGGCCCCCCCAGCGCACTCACCTGTCGGGGGCTTTCGGACCCCCTTTCGGACTCCCTGTGTGTGTGTGTGTGTGTGTGTGTGTGTGTGTGTGTGTGTGTGTGAGAGAGAGAGAGAGGGAGAGGGAGAGAGAGAGAGATGTGTTCGAATCGTACTTGCAGCGCATCTCATGCGCGGGGTGCCCCACGCACATGCACGCACGCACAAGTGATGCGGCGCATTAGAAAAATAGAAAAACAAAAATGTCCTAGTTGTGTCCAGCCTATTTTCGGAAGGATCCCTACAGCATCTTAGTCAGGACCCAACGTCATGCAGAGATACCCTTCAAACTTGTACTCCCTGAGCGTGGGCAGAGAATATATAGTCTGGATTCGAATTCAGGTCTGTGCATGTCGGTTATGGGTCACCATTTCTCTGTTTTCTCGCTTTTCTTTTCTTAGGAATACGTGCAGTGACCCTAAGGGCCTTTACTCACCAAATGCACAAAAGACAAAACATGCGGTGGCGTATTATTCCACGTTCTGCCGAAGATTCATTCTAATTTTGCACATTTAGTGAGTAGTGCAGCCAAGCCCTAAGAGTCACGTGCAGAGACCAACAGGCCCTAGCTACGTGAGCAACCCATAACTGCTGAAACACAGACCTGAATTCGAATCATGAGTATATATTCGGCCAGCTCGTGCTCTATTTCATATTCACTGCCTGCCTCGATTTTGGTGGGAGGGTCTGCGCTACATGTCTGCGAGGACCCTTCAGATAGCCTGCATGGGCCGTCTGAGCCATGTTAAGGGGATCCGTTCTCTCTCTCTCTCTCTCTCTCTCTCTCTCGCGCCCAACCCCAGAGCACCCCCCACCCAGACCAACCCCCCCATCCCCCCACCAAAACCAAAATTTCATTGCAGATTCGGGGTCCTCTCGCCGAGCGCAGAACGACCCCGGTTTCAAAAAAAAAAAATGGGCGTTTTTTTGTCCTGCCCGGTTTTCCCGGGCGCCCGCCCCAGGCCCAATCGGCTGGGCCCAGCCCGGCAGGGCAGGCCCGGCCGGGCGGCGTCCTCACTCAGGCATTACATAGTTTTTTTTCTTTCTTTTTTTTTTTTTTTGCTGGGACCTTCACTGGTCCTTGCACGGCCGGGCCGCCCGGGGAAACAAGGTCACCTAGGCGGCACGGCTGGTAGCCTAGTGAAGATAAATAAATAAATAAAAAGACTTTACTCTATTTTATTATGTTAAACCAACACCACCTTCACTGGTCCTTGCACGGCCGGGCCGCCTGGGGAAACAAGGTGACCTAGGCGGCAGGGATGGTAGCCTAGTGAAGATAAATAAATAAATAAAAAGAATTTACTGTATTTTATTATGTTAAACCAACACCACCTTTCCGAGGCAAAGGCTAAGTTGTGAATATAACCTATACCGCATGCCTCGGAGGCCGTGCACCACACAGACCAGACTGGCTGGCGGCGCCAGCAAAAACAAAAGAAACAAGGTCGCACTGGCGCTTCGACAAAGCTTGGCGCGCAGTTCTACTCCGCCTTGGCAAAAAAGGCTCAACGACAGTGGTGGTTTAAAAGAAAAAAGAATTTGCTGTATTCACTCCATAAGCACACGGCCAACATTGGTTAAATCTTCTCCTTTTCGCGTTTACCCCGAAGATACGGCAAAAATGTAGAAGACGAAACAGCGCAAAGAGAAGAGGAGAGCATGAACACGACTGCGAAAAAAAACATCGACATAAACCAACAGACAGACACGGTCACTGCATGCATTTCTCACACACAACCAAATCGAAGTTGTGAGCACCAACTCTACGACGAGTCTACATGGAATCAAATGCAATGGTAAACACCATTTCACTACTTGCAACTGAAGAACCTCTCCTTTACAGTCAGAGCATGGTTGCATACCTGCCTACTGCCGATCCCGACCGCTGACCGTTTTGCAGAGGACCAGTAGGGCCGACTGGTGGGAGAAAACAGCCATCCACTAATTTTATTTTCAGATCTGAGTTGGAAGCTGTACTGCGCTTGCCGAGTACAGCCCAAATCCGCTGAGAAACTTTTGGGGATTGGGGGGTTTGGGGGGGTTGTANGAGGGGCTGTGACAAACTGTTTCGTCGGAGTTTCATATATATATATATCGTCAAATAGAACTGCCCGGTAAACCGTAGGCAGAGAGGGAGAAGAGGACAACAAACGAGGGGCTGTGACAAACTGTTTCGTCGGAGTTTTATATACATTTGTCACAGCCCCTCGTTTGTAGTCCTCTTCTCCCTCTCTGCCTACGGTTTACCGGGAAGTTCTATTTGACGATATATATATAAAAGGGGGCTGTGACAAACTGTATGTTTGGACTTTCACCGACTCACCTGGAGGCCGAACTCTCGGCAGTCTGCAATATCCCCTAAACAGGTGATACCGACTCACCTGGAGGCCGGGGGCTGTGACAGACTGTATGTTTGGACTTTCACCGACTCACCTGGCGGCTGAACTCTAGACAGTCTGCAATAAACAGGTGATACCGTAAGTGATAATCCACGTTAACCCTATAGTTGCAGGTGGGTACCAACCACCGTCCCCCGAACCGATACCCCGAGGTGGGCACCAACCACTGCAATCTAGGGTACTTGTGACAGAAATCAAAGCCGACTATTGCCCACCCACACCACAGAAGACAACACACCGTAGTAGGTTCACACCCTGTTAAGACAGTGAAGTCTTCCACGGCCGGAGGATAGTCTTCTCTGCCCGGCCACTAACGCTACAGGCACATAATGGCCGCTAGCGGCGGCCGTGACCACTGCCGCTCCAAACCTGACTGGCATCGATCGCTTTCACAGTCAGGGAAACAGATTCCAGAGAAGCCAACATATTATGACTTTGATAAGGGGAGGTAAAATACCCTCAAACCCCATGCTCAGGGGAGATAATCCACAGGGTCAATATGAGCCATGCTTTGCGCCTCAACGCGAGTCCTCGAGACAAAATCGCACAGAAAGCCCTCACCGTAGTGCTGGACAGCACAACATACGATCCAGCGGAATTTCTGGACCGTCGTTCTCATGGTCAATCCTAGAGAAGCGCAAAGCATGCCCACTAGAGGGACACACCATGGCTCCTGACCCCTGGCCTCTCCAAACCTGGCTGGCATCAATCGCTTTCACAGTCAGGGATAGAGTTTTCAGAGAGGCCAACATAGGACTTTGATAAAATGGGGCCCCAGTAAAATGCCTCAACCCCCATGGGAGATTATCCACAAGCACCAGAGGCACACCATGGACCCTAGTGAATTTCAGCTAACTTCAACTGCTAACACACGACACCCCAAGCAGGTAAGAGACCCTCACAGCGCACCCTCAAGACGCTTTGTCAAGTGCTGCTTCAGGACACTAAGGGCATATACTCACATTAGGACCTTAAAACCCCGAAAACGCAAAATGAGCAGCCAGATAGAGTCCTCCATTTGCAAGGACTCAATCTGGCCGCTCATTTTGCAATTTTGAGCGCCTCGTGTGAGTACGCCCTAATCATGCGACTTTTGTTTAAGCAAGACGTAATTCATTTTCTCCTCAAACAATCACCCTCAGTCAACACCCACTCTTCTTCCCCACATCTGGATTTTGCAAATATTTTGGCACACAATCAATCGTAAGAGAAGGGCAGATCTATAACAGAAAACTGCACTCCCAAAAGTGGCCCGTACAGCACGTCCCATAAAAAACAAGAGCATCGCGAGCAAACCTGACGGACAACGGAGCTGTATAGAGGTACAGTCATCCCCTCCATAGGTGCTTAGCTCCTCCTACCCATCATGAGGACATTGATTTCTTCTCCGCATTTGCACTCATTGCTGCTGCTGCTGCAGCTGCTACTCACCGTCATGTTCTCTTTGTAGCTTGACTCGAAAACTGACATCGCTGCGAGGGAACCGGAACCCATGGTCGCGAAAGGCAGAGTGTCCGTTGATCCATGCGGATATACCTACAATCAATAAATGCACACAAGCACCCGCAGCATGAGTTTGCACATACGAAATGCCCCCACAATGAAGACAGCTGCTGCAACACAAGGTGCAGCCAAAAAAAATTGCCAACAGAAAGAAGAAAAATAGTCAAAAAAAAATTAAAAAAAAGAAATAAAGAAAAAGAAAAAGAATGTGACACAGTCAGCAACAAATAAACAGTTGACCGATACAAAGGGCTCACAAGACCGCAAACAAGGCGAGAACCAACCAAATAATCCCCTTGTTGTTCAGAACAAAAAAACAAAAGGAGAATAACTTGAATAATAAGATGTAAACCACCAGAATAGCCCCTTCTTCAAAAGGGGGGGAAAAAAAGGCTTCGCCAGAGAGTGTTACATGAGAGGATTGTTCTCACCAAAAGGAAACCTCGCATTCAAAACAGTCACCATCAGTCCGTTCATCTATTTGACAACCTAACCCACCCCAGTGCCCAAACCTATTTTGCCCCAACCCTGCACCCGCCCAACCCTTGGACGTTGGCAGCAAGAGCCTGACGTTCGTTACAGCCCTGTCGCTGCTGAGATCAACATCTGGCGGCAAAAAGGCCCATGGCTACACAATTCCATTTTCCCAGTCACACTTGGCATCCTCCACGCTGCTACCAGACCACCTCCAGGCCACCTCCTTTCATCTCATCCTTATCCAAAGACCCCGTTTCGGCAAAGTGGGACCAAAAAAAGAAACACACACACACACACACACACACACACACACACAAAAAAAAAAAAAAAAAAAAAAAAAAAAAAAAAAAAAAAAAAAAAAAAAAAGAGAGAGAGAGAGAGAGAGAGAAAGGGAGAGAGAGAGAGAGAGAGAGAGCAAAGGTGACGAGGAAACACTAACCAGTGTGGCCTCTGGAGAAAACGTATCCATTCTTCTTGACGTATGTTCGCGGGTTCGGCATCTCGTAGTTCCTGAGGTACTCCTTCCCGTCCTGAAGAACACAGAGAGACGGCAACGACCATGATTAGGTCAGCCTTCTCAGAATCATAAGCCCTTCTGCTCCATGGAAACACTCAACCGTCTACCCAATCTGTTCCACAGCCTTTGCAGAGTGCCCAGTAACAGCCTTTGCATTTCCTGTTTTTTTTTTTCCCTTTCTTAACTGCGAGCCTAGGCTACCAGTCCAGCCAGGCAAGTGGTCCCAGGCCACCCTGGTAGCCTAATCCCCCAAACATAACACACCCTCGTCACGACTGTATCGAGCTGGAAAGATGGCTTGTATACGTTCAAAATCAGGGTGTGTTGTGCTCAGGGGAAAACGGTAGTGATGGGATATCACAACAAAAATCAAGCATTGCCCCCATTAATATCATTATTACAAAAAAATAAAAACAAGCAGCACTACAAATTAATAATACAAAGATACATGGATTCCTTTTTGTCCTTCTTTTTTTTCAATTGATGACTACATGCAGTGCATGCATCCATAATTGAGGTTAGAGAGTTCCCCATACAGTCTCTCCACAAAGCATGGACTTCGGGGTGTCATGGGGTATTCCCAGGGCTACTCCTGTACTCCTCTTGCCCATCATATTTCACTGAACGAGGAATGAAAAAAGGGACAGGGTGTCCTTCGGGACGTCCGTTAAAATTGGAGCAATACAGAGAGAGAAGATTAGCATGGCCCCCGCGCAAGGATGACACGCATAAATCGAAAAATAATCCAAAAAAAAAAGAAAAAAAAAAAGACTAGGGTTCAGAGAAATTATTCAAATTGGCAGAATCAGAAACAATTTTGAAATGCCCTTCGAGACATCCGCTCAAATTGCAACGATACAGAGAAGAGAAGCATGGCCCCTCTATTAAAAGACAAAAAAAAAAAAAAAAACATTACCTTGGTGATAATGCACAGGTCAACATTGCTCCCACTGCCGAGGTCATTGAATATCCCAGCCTTGATTGCATTGGCCACCATCTCCATAGCCTCCTCTTTCTGAAAAGCCGAAAGCTTGCAAAAGTTAGTGCTTACATGAAAAAATACAAGCTATAGCAAAAGCCACCTCGCAGACCGTTTCATTCCAGCTTTAGCACGACCACACCTGGTCTGCATTCCCAACCAAGTTCATTCCAATACTGGTATAAGTGGCGATTGAATCACAATTGAGTGTGACCACGACTTTACAGCGAGTCCCTCATGGACTACCGTCGGGTGGTGGTGAATCGTTCGACCTTACCGAACCATACATAGGGCGGGTAGTGAACAGTCAGCAGAAAGAGAGAGAAGGACAAGAAACAGGAGGCTGTGGGGAAAACATATATATATATCGTCATATATATATATTGTCACATCACTACAAACTAAAAGAGCGCACTTTGCGGAACAAAGAATAAAAGCAAAAAACGGGCACAGTGATAACATGCAAAAANAGAGAGAGAGAGAGAGAGAGAGAGAGAGAGAGAGAGAGAGGTCATCAGAGGACAAGGCTTGGTTATCATTCCCACAGGGGGAGTTAAACATGCGATTCATTTTGCGATATTTTATTCGCATGCACAATATGCTACCCTGCACGAACGCAGGACTCACCGTATGCAAATGGGGCCCGGTTACATCGTATCCTCCCAGCACAAGTGCCGCACTGACATATCCCTGATACCTACCAAAACAAACAGATCCAACATGAGTTCTCACAACAATTGCTGAAAGGCAAAACCAGGACAAGAAACGTGTGACACAGTTCAGTCAAACATGATTAGTGAGAAGATGGCCAGATAAATGCGCCTAAATGTGAACCCCCATTCCACGTGTGCCTTGGCGATCATTGGATTGGCGACAGGGCAGAAAGTTCTGCAGTCCAGCAGCCAGCAATGGGGCGTCGCAGAAAGTTGCAGGTTTGCAGAGTATCTACGATCTAGCACAAACCTGCGGACCTACCGTCTTCACCCGAATAGAACGCCTGGTAATTATCGCCGTATCTGGGCTGAAAGTTGCGCCAAATACAGCTATAATGACCGGGCGTTATATTCGGGTGAAGACAGTAGCTCGGTTAGTACACCCATGAACTGTGTTGATATACAGACCTGAGTTCGAATCCGGACGGAACTAAATGAACGGAATTCTTGAATTGCCTGGGGTAGGTCAGTTCCACGATAATATCTCACAAGGCCGTCACCCTTTTGACCAAAAAGAAAAAGAAAAAAAAAAAACAAAAAAAACTAGCACCAGTCAAGGCACACACAGCGAACCAAATCACAACAGAACAGAACACAACGCTGAAACAGAGCAAAACAAAATGACAGGTTCATGACCACCTACAGAGCACCAGCTCAAAAACTGAGAACAAACCCAATCACAAAAGAGCAGCACAGAGAAAAACAGAGACGGACAGAGACGCTCACAAAAGCGCAGCACAGAGAAAAACAGAGACGGACAGAGACGAACAGAGCAGAACATAACAGTGCAACCAAGCGACGGAGCAGAGAATCTGTCCACAAGGAAACAAAAGAGGTACTCGACACACGTGACAAAGCAAAAGTGAAGATATAAATAATCAATTAACTGCTATGAGTTCGGCTGACTCAGGTTCCTTCGCCCATAGCGGAAGGAGATGTAGAGTGAGCATCGACGTGGGGGACGCCGGATCCGCTTTTCCGCAAGTTTAAAAAAAGAAAGAGAAGAGGGAAAAAAAACCTGCTATAAGTTCAGTGTTCCAAATGGGCTTGCCGACCCAACTGCTCATCCAGAGTACAGTTTCTCAAGTTTCCAGTGATAGAAGACCAACGGGCCATTCGATGCCTGCCCAAGCAGCAAAGGGAAAGAACCTGAGGATTCTCTATCTCATTCATCTAGAAGTACATGCTTCCCAAACTGGATTCGAACTCAGGTCTGTATTTCAATACTTCATGGGTTTGCCCACTGAGCTAGGCCCGTCGGTAATCTTATGATTCTGACAGCCGTTGACTGCAGCAATCGCACACGCCTGTAAAAGACGGATACGTACAGGGCTATTTTTATCTCTTGCCAGCCAACACAAGCAGGCCATTTTGACAACCTGACCTGACCTGACCTGGCTATTCTTGTCAGTTCTACAAAACACACACACACACACACACACACACACACACACACACACACACACACACACACACACATTTGCTATCCTAAATTGTGCTATTAGAAAAAGACAGATAGTCACTGACCTGAAAAGATGAGATTTCAACAGTGTCATAGCCGTTACGACCCTCGATTGCCTTCCGGTCGCGTATCGATGCAGCTCCAACTGAGAGCTTACCATTGCTAAGCAGAGTTATTCATGTAACACAGGAACACAAAAAAACAACAGCAAGAGAAAGCGAACGATCACAGTATCACTAATATATTAGTATTTAAAAATCTCAGGAAAAGAAATAAAAAGCGACACGGAAACTAAGAAAACATGGCAAACTGAGAATGCATGGGGATTGTAGATAGAGATGCATTGTCATTTTGGTGATCGCTATCTATACCATGTGTACGATCTGCACCTGGATGTGCAGGTGTCCAGATGCATGGCGTATGATCTGCACCTGGATGTGCAGATGTTCAGAATGCTTCCATGGTGTATGATCTGCACCTCGACGTGCAGATGTCCTGATGCATGTACACCAAAACGAAATAAAAACAGTTCACTTGATCCCTTCATCCTAAAAGTGATTCAGAGGGAAGTGAGCAGAGGATACCTCACTGCAACGGGAAATATGGAAAAGGAGATG